GAACATTCTAGTTCCTTTTCTTTTTGTTTAAACTCTTGTCGTTTCATGCATCCACGCGCGAACTTTCTGGGGTAACCGTTTTTTGAAAACAGTGTGAACAGGTAATTGAGTTCGGCTTGGTAGAGTTCGGGGTTAGACCAATGTGTTCTTAATCGATTCATTAGGGTGTCCAAAATTCACAATAAAGTTTGTTCCTGTTTCCCGAAGATTCTCTTGTATAAATTTATATACATAAGATTTAAAAAGTATAACATATATGCATATAAAATTTAAAGAAAATTAAATCGGAACAAATTAATGAACGTAAAATAAGGACACATAGTCAAAAACGGGTCATTTAAAGAACCAACGAATTCATCAGCCAGAGAAGTGCCTTCTCTTCTTGCCCACATAGTACACTCGTCTCAGCATCGCCGACCTCATCGTCGTCAGTACTGCACCATCAGCATTCATTTGCGAAGACCCATAAATATTTTTTATTTTTTATACCGTAAGATCTTGTAATCTGCATTTCTATTATCTTACGACTAACGTTCAAGAGTGTAAAATGTAATGTTTAAGAACATAGGAAGTGTGTATAGAAGTGTTGGAAAGAATAATTAGGTGGATATGAGTGTGGAAAATGTTTATAGTAAGTGGAACCGACAAGGGGGGCAAGGGAAACCGGAATGGTCATGTTCAGCTTATTAGCCGCCATCAACCAGTCATATCCAATCCCGAGCTGCAGTTGGTGTTAATGCACAGGAAGAGTGTCCGGACGCCAGTGCATTTATGCCAGCAGGGATGGTTAATGTTTTAGTGAAGGATTTTCTCGGTGTCAGTCGCTTTTTGAAAGACATCGGTGTGTAGGGCTCTATCTTCCAGCCCCGACATATAAACGTAAAGAAAATGAATGTCCTCGTCCCTTTATTCCGCCATTTTAAGTTTAATTTCAGGGAAAATTGAGTTCAATTTACTTCTAAAGACCTCCTTCACGTCTCGGCGGAGGATAACAAAGGTGTCGTCCACGTAGCACATTCACAATTCTGGCTTACCGGACAGAAAGGCTCGTGTTTCTAGTACGTGCAGGACGTCTCGGCGAGATAACCACAGATCGGGGTTCCCTGAATTAGCTCCTAGACCCGGCCGTTAGGTGTGAAGAGCGGGGTTAAACCGTAGTCCAGTAACTCCATCACGTGCTTCGTTTAAAGTGGCTTTCCTCCTTCCTTTTACCTTCTCTGCAGCAGGTCGCTGATGACTTTCGTGGCTGCTTCTTTAGGCATTGGTGTTAAAGGGAGACGACTTGAGAGAATACCAT